GACACCAGGGTATCACTATGTATCACTTAAGTGACCTGTCACCACTTGGCCCAAGACTCCGGAATCTTCTCTCCCATGACAGTGAGGAAATTCCGATGCTTCACCTTCAGCAAGCAGAGCCTTGGACGCAAAAAACGCCGTGGATCATCCCATCGTTGTGTCGTAAACCATCCGTAGCATTGTGGTTCCAAAAGCCAAAAAAAAATGAACTGGCAAATACCCTCTGGTAAACTAACGTAACTATGGAAAATCACCAATTTAATGGGTTAATTCCACTATAAATGGCCATTTTCAATAGCTATGTTAGTTTACCAGAGGGGAACTGGCAAATACAGGGAGAGAAGGCAAATTCCAAGGCAACCGTCCCATATCTGTCATTTACTGAGCCAAAATTCTGTACCCAATTTTGACCTTTCCCGAGATTATCATGTGGTTAGGGATGTCTTATTTTCAGCCGGTTTCCCCATTGTGGGATACATGTACCCTGCAATAAATTAGGATATGTGGGTTTCCATTCATGGGGGTACCCCCAAATGGATGGTTTATAATGGAAAATACCCTCTGGTAAAGTAACATAGCTATTGAAAATGGCCATTGAAATAGTGGATTTTCCCATTGAAAATGGTGATTTTCCATAGCTATGTCAGTCATTACCAGAGGGTACCATGGATGATTTAGGACACATCTACCCTTTGGTAATTTAACATAGCTATGGAAAATCACCATTTTTAATGGTAAAATTCACTCTTTCAATGGTCATTTTCAATAGCTTTTTGTATGTTTACCAGAGGGTATCATGGATGGTTTATAATGGAAAATACCATGAAAATGGATGATTTAGGAAACATCAATATCTTTAATGGTTCAACCATTTCAGAGATCAGGCGTCCTCCGATGATGCACCAACCACGCAACGCGTAGATGACGTTGGCCACGCTCTGGCTGTTGGCCTCATCCAAGCGCTGGGCGAGGATGTCGCCTGACACGCGAAAACATGGTGGATGGACGCAAGGTGGTGCGCCCCCCCCAGTTATAGATGGCTTAGAATCCCATGAAAACCATAGAGAATCCCATGAAAACCATAGATAATCCCATGAAAACCATAGATAATCCCATGAAAACCATAGATAATCCCAGTTATATCCCCAGTTTTGAATTAACTATAGATATATCACCAACAAAAACCATAGTGACATTGGACTTATTTGCACCAACTTGGCTAACTATGGGGCACCACCCTGTGGGATAGAACCCCTAAACGGAGGTCTGATGGAAATAATTGGGATGCTCCTCGCGCTGTTCATACATAGACTTAAACCTGTAAAACATCTTAGAACCTTAAAGACTTTAAACTGTGATCCAAAAATAGAACCAAACTGGACACATAATCTGGGTATAGCGGGATATAGTGGGGATGTGATAGGGATATGTTGCAAATTGCTGCTACGATAGCAAACTATGTTGCGGAGTCGACACATAGCCACTACCTGTATGGAGCTGAATCGGAAAGCCCCACCTATATGAAGTTAAATCGTTGACCGTTAAGCCACCAAAGCACGGTATGCACGCTTGCAAACTTGGAAGAACGTGCAGAGATCACTATATAATCATATTGAAATGGACACATTGCCAGCAAAACTTGGGGTTCGACGATGCTAAACAATCCAGTCCAGGAGCTTCAAAACGATTCAAACGACACGGGTCTCTCTAAAAAATCACATCAAACCAGGCGGCTATTGGAAGTCTGTACATTTCATCATATTTCGATATTTACTATGAGACCCAGTGCGGTCTGAATACAAACAATGGGCCCTTTCACTAAAACAGCAAAATGGATCAAAAGGGTGCAACCAAGCAGTCACACCTCCCACCTCCCACCTCCTTTACCTCCCATCTTTCCTGTATCATTAATATAGCATAATATAGCGCCATTCATGGGATGGAATGCCTTTACCACCCAAACGTAGGACTTAAATCCTGCTTTCTTCCAATTCTTCGCTTCATTCTAGATACATCTTCACTCTAAAACCAACAACTTGAGAAAAATCCAACAAAAAAACAACAAATTGAGAAAACTATGAAAATCCATGGATTTTATCCGGATTTCCATCCAGCTTCCCTTCCCCCACCCTTCCCCATCCCCGCGGCACAGAGCGCGGGCACCGCGTCGCGGTGCTGCAGCAGCGCCAGACCATAGACCATGTTGGCTAAGTCGCGACAGGTGAAGTGAAGGATGCGACCTGGCATGCCTGTCATGGTCAAGTGATAAAATATGATACAATGATATGGAAACCATGGGAAATGGAAAACTTTAACTTCTTGACAATGTCATTTTATACTTTTTCCGTTGTTTTTTTACGTAGGAACCGGGAATACGATGCCGTGGCCGAGTGAATTGGGATTTGGGGAACAGTCATTGGGAATTTTGCTGGGAATATAGCTGCAATCTAATGGGTATAGAACTGATTTGGCCAAGTTAATATGATCCATGGACAATTGGAGCTTTGCTAGTAACTCCTAGTATTTCTGGACAACACCTTTTTCAGGTTGGTTTGAACCCATCCCAAGAATATGCTCTTCATCTCAATGAATAATTCAAGATGAAACATATGGGTATGGGTCAATACCTATAGATACATTTTTAGTGGGATGAACATCCATAAATCCCAGCTATTTTGATGTGAACTACAGGGGTACTATTGGTTTTGACACACTGCCATATTGGAACCCCCCAACCAGTTGCTCTAAAGAACTCTGAAACCACCATCGTTCACCGGTTTTTGAATCACACCATCTTCGGGAGCCTGGAATCCGTTGACAAAGATCCTCCAGAAGGTCCTGGGAAGCAGGAGGAAGGAGGGCAGTTGCCATAACCATATGGAAAAACCATGGGAAAACTATGGGAAAATCATTCTCAGTTGATTCATCCATTTATAAAATCTAGAGACCCTGACCTGGTCAGGACAGATTTATTTCGGAAAGCTGGGATATCACCGCTCAGAAGTGTATTACAACCCGTTTATCCTCTGGTAAATGAACGTAACATGTAACTATGATTAACTATGGAAGATGGCCCTCTTATAGATGATTTACGTTGATTTACCATGATTCACCTATGAGAAATGGTGGGTTTTCCAGTTTGACATGTTAAATCACAAGAGGCTGTGCAGGCGTGGCCACGTTGCTTCGATCAACACATTTTGCTCAAGGCCACTGGCTCAAACCAACCAGCGGGGTCCTTCAGCAACTACCCACGGGTTATGACTAACATAGCCATGGTATAGATGGCCCATAGAAATAGATGGTTTACCTATTAAAAATGGTGATTTTCCGTTACAATTTATTCGATTCTTCAAGTACTGAATGTATGTTGTCACGGCCTATCTTTCAATAACTTGCAGGGCAGCACCTTTTTGCTTTAAAAGTAAGTATCAAAGAATGTGTATATATTATATATGTATTAATTTCAAATAATTATATAATTATATATAATTATATATATAGTGGCCAAAACTACTCACCCAAGGTTTGCCCAGTTGTGGTAGACACATTCCCAACATACTTTCCCAAAAGTAGAATCTACCAATCCATATAGTTATAATAAGTCTCAAAACGAGTTTTAGAACATGTATGAATACAGTATCTCAATTTTGAATGATTTTACCAGCATTTTTTAATGGGGATGGGTCAAAACCCTGGTACCTAGTGAACCCCAAAATAGCTGGTAAATGGATGTTCATCCCGCTAAAATGTATCTATAGGTATTGACTCATACCCTAATCAGAATTCCACATTTTTCTGCAGTACTACCACGGTGGTGGGGAAACTCTGATTGAATCGCTGCCCCTGGCTCCCCATAGCTTTGAACCGCTCCCTCCGAACCACCGGATTTTCGGTTTTGTCCCAAATGCGAGGGATCAGTTGATTCGTATCCTCTGGTAATGGAATAGATGGTCCATTTATAGATGGTTTACCTATTATAAATGGTGATTTTCCATGGCTATGTTAATTAACCAGAAGGTAAGACCTTTCTATTTTCAGGGTCTATGTTAATTTACCAGAGGGATCCGGAGGGTATATAGGCTAGCACAACATGTGGTATAACCTCCATAACAATCAACAGGGGTTTAGCCACTGCTCAACTGAAGATCAAACAACCTTGACCTTCAGGAGAATATATATATATGTGGTCATATAATCATGTATATATATATATACTTATAATAGTCATACATACATATGTATATAACATTATATAGCCGTATAACCTTTGCATAGTCATATACATACGTATATAACCATATATATATCATAACCATATATCATAACCACATATATATATATATATATATCACATATATACGTATATATATATATATATATATCACATCTAATATATCCTTCCCAATTTAACGTCCTTCTCCTTCACCTTCAGCTTGCCCCAGGCCCACAGCACGCATGCCAGGCTCTTAGCGTCGAAGTCACCCGCCTCACCGGTAAGCCCCAGAAAAAGAACAGCGGTTCATCACTTTTTTAATAGGTAAACCATCTATAAATGGGCCATTTTCCATGGAAAATCACACATAACTAACATAACTATGGAAAATCACCATTTTTAATGGGAAAACTCACTATAAATAAATGGGCCATTTTCAATAGCTATGTAACAAATTACCAGAGGGTAGTGGGATTTGACTTTTTCTATATTTTTTTTTGGGTAAGTATAGGTTTATGGATGTTTATGGTATAGATTTTTTTTTAGATATAAATGATAGAACCCCAAAACGTTAGCCGGCTTTATACGATTCTACCGTTATGCCCACTCATTTTTTGGGGTGGCACCACCTTGCAGCTTTATACGCGGTGAGATATGCATATCTTTTTCCAACCAATAATCAATTGGGTCGACCTTAAAGTTTCATCTTGGTGATCTGTGACGCCTTACTCGGCCACCACCCTGGGTATCATTCCAATATATTTTACATGACTTGTGCATAAATTGGTACGTACGGATGATGGTTATGAGTATGAACAGTAGTAGCTAATAGATTTATCATAACTATTCAATAAAACGATATTTCTAGCTCTTTTGATGATGATTTCTTGTTTTTTTTGGATCATTATTTTTCATGTCACTAAAGATGCGATGGCAATTCATCCATGTTTTCGATGGTCAACTGCAGATGGTTTCTTCGTGAGTTCAGCATATGAGTAGCAGCCAGTGAGTTGGAGATGGTGGAAACACCCGGCCTGGTTATGACGAACAGTTCGCCATGGGTTAAGATCCACCATTTTTAATAGGTAAACCATCTATAAATGGACCATTTTCCTCTGGTAAACTAACATAACTATAGAAAGATCCACCATGCTATTAAGAACGGTACACCATTTATTTCTATGGGCCATCATTTTCCATGGCGAACTGTTAGTCATAACCAGAGGGTATATTTGTATATACTATCTCATCATCATCTATCATCTTGCCATTATGGATCCAGGTCAAAAATCTCAGCCAAAAAGGTGGATGCTTTAATCGTGACCAGCCGTGAATGCCACGGACATGAAGGAGCTCGAATCGGCCGGGCTCCAACACCACGATAAAAGGATATGGGGGGTTCCATAGTCATGGGGATATCCCAAAATGGATGGTTTATAGTGGAAAATCCTATTAAAATGGATGATCTAGGGGTACCATTCTAGGAAAACTCCTACAACATCCTAAAACCTTTTTACGATTGTGAAATCTCCTTTGCAGAACTCATCAGTCATATCAACCATAATTTCTTGGTCAGAACCACAATTTTGATGGTGTACATCGATATTTGACGATGAAATCCATGCACCAGGGATTTCGAAACTCTTGGTAATATCAATGTAATATCATTGGTTATGTATCCCATTGTATCTGCATTTATAATTTTGGTTTTATCAGGTTTCACACCTCCTTTTCTAAGGCGAAACCGCCATTTATACAGTCATGTTCTTCTTAAATCACCATCAAATCCTATGAAAACCATCATTTTTCCCCATAAATATCCACACATATCCATAAATTCTCAAGAATGTCCTCCTGTCCATACAAAAATGTCCTCCAGTCGCGCCTTCCCCATCCGTTGCCGCTGTTGCGCCACCAGCAGCCCCAGACAGCGGGAGAAACACTTGGCGTCGTCGCGGCTCACTTTGGCCGTGCGGTGCCTCGGCGATATCAATGTGGCATCCCATCCAGGTTCTGTTGAAAGATGGAGATGGATGGATATATAGACAGATTCTATGTAATCTATAGATGTCATGTCATTTAACATAATCTATAGATAATGTGATCTATAATCTATAGATATCATTATTCTATAGTCTATATATTACATTATAATCTATAGATATCTATAATCTATAGACAGATAATCTCATATAGATTGACAATCTTGCTGTTTGAAAGATAGATATCCAGTTGAAATGTAACCTATATATTTCAACATATTTAACATCATATCTCAGTTTCAGCAAACTCAGCCTTAAATATATCTGCTTGGTGGTTTATTTTAACCATCTTGAAAAATGATGGAGTTCGTCAATGGGTTCCGGATGACATCCCATATTAATGAAATGGAACATAAAAGCCAGCCATGTTTGAAACAGCCAACCAGTAATCACCATTAATCATTATTAACCATTATTAACCCATTACAATCCCCATTCATCACCATTAACTATCACCATTAAATCACCATTAAATCCAGCCATGTTTGAAACCACCAACCAGATATAGTGAGATCAGCACCCACAATAATTTCGCCACAGTGGCCATGCTGCTGCCAAGTTCGTCCCATCCCAGGCTTCAGAGGTGCTCCTCAGCGCCTGGCCATGCGGAGTCAACGGATCATCATCTTCAGCCATGACAGAATTCAAACTAAGCTTGTAGATCTTTGTAGTGAAAAATTGAAATGCGGGATTGGATGCATGTTTTCCCTTAAGTGCAGCCATGTTGGTCTTCAATCCCTACTAACATGTTGGTGGTTCGACTCTTGGATTTGGGGAGTCTCACGTACCGGAAGGCTGTTTTCCAGAACTTGGGGCAGTATGTTGAAGGGTGGCTGCTATTGTGTTGTTTCACTGCCCAACTAAAGAATGCCAAACCTGGAACAAGTCAGAAGCCAATGTGAATGCCAAGTGGTTATGCTGCAGTATGCCTTCTATATGTTTTCTATGGTGCACATCGTCCATCATTGTGTTACATATCATCAGGGTGTTCTGCGCTCACCCTGCTTGTCCTTGCCCTTGAAACACTCAGGTGAAGCGGACATCTGAACGACACGGCTTTTCACTCACTGAACGAATTGTGCCCTAGAATTCAAACCTCAGCTTATTTTTCAGAGACTATAGTTCTAAAAGTTTTAGTTCTAGGTCTGCAATCACCACTCAGCCCGTTGAAATCTATACAAATCTGAGCTAAGAAGACGATTCTGCTCAATCTCAAAAACTCTTCCAATCATTTTCTTCAAAGCTTTCATGAACAAGCTGATATCCCTCGTAAACACTGTGGTTTTTAGAAACATGGTGGAAACCCAAGAAAAGACTCAGGTAAATTCAGGATGTGACAAAAAACTGGTTACACCACGAAATGGACATGTCAGTACGGATGATAGATGATACTAGTATATAGTAGATAATTAACCATGTGGATCATTACTAACCATTATTAATCATTAAAAAATACCATTCATTATTGACCTTCATTAGCCATCATTAACCATCATTATTAACCATCATTAGCCATCATTAACCATCATCACTAACAATCATTATTAACCATCATTAACCATCATTAACCATCATTAACCATCATTAACCATCATTAACCATCATTATCAACCATTATTAACCATCATTAACCATCATTAACCATCATTAACCAGTGTGGATGGAAAAAGGAGGTTACCACCAAAGCCAAAAATCAAGTTTCCCCGCCACCATCTCTCCATGGTGCTGGGTCCACACACACCCTCTATGTCTCCATGGTGATAGCCAAATATCCCCAGTTTTGTAAATCTGGGGCATTCCGATCCTCAAAAAATGCATGGTTTATACAAGGTGGTGCCCCCAAGATAGCTAAGTTGGGTTATAACTCCAATAACTATGGTTTATAGGTGATATATCTATAGTTAATGGACTTATAAACCAACTTATAACTGGGGGGCACCACCTTGTATAACTCATCTGCGAACCATGGTGCTGGTATATAAAAACCTACAAAACTGGATGATTTTGTCGGAGCAAATGTTGGTTTGCATATTCCAGCACCACGGAGTATATGGGTATAGTGATTTATATTAGAACAATGATCATTCATGGCGATTTAATCACTATCATTTGGATCAAAACATATTTCGCCATGGTATATATGTACACTATTATATTAAGATATTAAGATATCGTGTACTTTTTCCAAGGTTATATGGGCAAATTTGAGATCATCATGGTATATAGTACACTATAGTACACTATTATAGTAATGGGAAGTTTACGATGTTCAAATGATCACTTGGGGTTGGGCGCCATGACTAGATGGACACCTCCACCATTAGTCCGGAGTCCATAAAAAGACTGGTCACTGGGTGACTGTTGTTGACCACGAAAAGAATGACATGGATCATTAACCATTATTAACCATTAAAAAAAACCATGGTTGATCATTATGGACCATTATTAACCATGATTAACCATTATTAACCATCATTAACCATTCAAAAAACCATCAAAACTACCTTGTTGATCAAAATGTAACCATTATTTTTATTAGCCATTCATTGATCATACGGTGACCTGCCACAGCGCTCGCGCCGAGGTCAGTCTCGCGAGTTGATTCTGCAGTCCTCGGTGTGGTTCTGCTGCACGGTTTGGGCTATTTTGGCTACCCCGAAATGGTGGATTTACTGACGATTTTACCCTCTGGTAAACTGTCCCATAGCTATGGAAAATCACCATTTTTAATGGGAAAACTCACTATAAATGGCCATTTTCAATAGCTATGTTAAATTACCAGAGGGTAGGGTGATTCAAAGGTGCTTCATAGAGATTTTATGGGAGTTTTGAAATTTTGTGATGAAAAAAAATGACTTTATGGGATTTTATTGGATGTTATGGTGACTTTATCGTTTTGTGATGAAAAAAAATGACTTTATGGGATTTTATTGGATGTTATGGTGACTTTATCGTGATCCAATAGGGATTTAACCACCAAAAACCAGTATATTCATGGGAATTACTGTACCCTCTGGCGTCATCAAACATGGCTGGCTGGAAAATCCCCGAACTAAATGGAGGTTTCAATGGCGAAAACCATAGGAAAGTATGGAAAACTTATAAATACAAAGGTTTGAGTGGCAAAATCATCGAACTAAAGAGGTGATGTTTGGATTGCGATCCCAGGGGATGCAGCTTGGGCTTCAACAACGATCCATTAAGCTCTGCCAAGTGGCTTAGCCCATATATATATAATAAGTGAGTATGTATGGAATATAATATAGTATGTATAGCATATATATATATAGTATGATTAGCTAATATTAGCTATATATATATATAGTATGTATAGAATATAATAAGTGAGTCACACCTGGTACGACGATGATTTATGATGATTTATTCACTACTTACGGTGGTATTCCTCCAACTTTCCACATCTCTTCTTCTTTTTCGCACCAAAATTGTGCCGCCCTTCCTCAAAGCGTCGGCTCATCTGACGGCCACATGGAGCGCAGCTTTTCTTTGAGAGGAAATGGCTGGCTGAACAATGCGCGCGGGAAATCCTGGATGCTAACACCAGACCAGTTCTACATGGTGGGCCCCCCCTAGATAGCTAAGTTGCTTGATAACTAATGTATACGTATAACTAGCATCTAGGGTAGCTATATCTATAGTCACGGGGGGTTATAACCAACTTACAACTAGGGGAGTTTCCTTGAATTTCTAGAGGTAAACGTACCCACCGTCAAACCTGTAGTGTTGCATGAAACCATCATGGTCAATCTCAGAGACCCTGCAACAAACTCAATTAGCAAAGAAGTACCCTCTGGTAAACTAACATAGCTATTGAAAATGGCCCATTTATAGTTGATTTACCCATTATAAATGGTGATTTTCCATAGCTATGTTAGTTTACCAGAGGGTAGATATTAATATCTCCATTTTCTGCAATCAAGTTGTACTAAACATTACTAAACTATCCATCGAAAGCTGGTTTCCCCACTTAAAATCCCATGAAAATCCATTATTTTCTGGTTTTGCATCGCCATTAAACTAGTTAAATTGCTGGTGGTTTATATCCCCAATATCTACACCAATTTTGTGTTGGCTATATCAAATTTCTTTGGGCTGATTATAGGAATATTCTACAGTTTTTTCTTGACTGGTGGTTCATATCATGGGTTTCCCATCTGCATCTTGGTGGTTCACCCATTTTTCAGTGGTTGAATCCATTCCCAGTCGTTTTCCTAACTGTAACTGAATATCGCATTCATATGCATTTACATCGACTGGATGCTGGTTTGAACCATCTTGAAAAATATGAAAGCCAATGAGAAGGATTATCCCATATATTATGGAAAATAAAAGCCATGTTCCAAACCACCAACCAGTCGATTATATATTGCATATTTCAAATAACCCATTACATAAACAATAATTCAATCCATTGAGGTTTATTGTTATCCCCAAAATCATCCCAATCACATTCTATTGTGGTAATACGGTGCAGTGGCAGTAAACTAACAGAGATATGCAACAACCAGCCATGAAACTAGATCACTTCCGAACGGTAAACATGGTAAAGAACCATACTTTGCCATACAGCAACTTCTAGGTTTTTGTGGAGGTTCTTCCCAACTCCCTCGTCAACTGGCGTTCCTGGAGCAAGGAGATGTTCGCCGCCGGACCGGCCGGACCGCGGCCGGCAAAGCCCTCCTCGGAGCGGATGCGAAAACCGCTGATGGCATGGCAGATGGCATGGATTTTCGAGGCAAACACTACATTAAAACATGAAATATATGGAGAAACAAATATGGACATATTGTGGAATTCAAATTGGAACCTAAGATTGTTCCAAGCAAAAACATGGAAACAAATGATGATACCTATGACTTTTGTCCTAACCACAGATGGGAGATCTCACCAGCATGAATTTGTACCAACATCAAAAGTGTTGGTAGAAATACAGAAAGTACCCCCATTGGTAATCAAAGGTGGCAATTGAACATCTAACACAAACAAATGTTTATAGTTGTGAATATCTGTAAACGGTGAATTTTCCCGCAAACCACGTTTGATTACCGGAGAGTATATTAATTGTCATGGTGGAAAGCCTTCCAATTGACTGTTGCTCTAACTTTTTCAGGAAATGCGAGAACACATAGAAAAACAACCCAAAAAGATAGAAAGAGAGAACCAAAGCAACAGCAATAACAAGCGTTCTCTTGTGCTTATTATTTGCCAGCCTTCATCCTTTTTCATGCAAGAAATGTAAAGAAATCGAACATGATAATGCCCTTGTGCCGCGATCATGTGACATAACAAGTTCCAAACAATGCAACAGCTTGACGTTCACATCACTGGCATTGATCACTCAGTTCTGCTAGTTGCGACTGCGACTACTTTTCTCCTTGGTTTGAACAAACACTTAAAATTGCTGATTGTATGAGAAAACAAATGCCCTCTGGTAATTTAATATAGCTATGGAAAATCACCATTCTTAATAGGTAAACCATCTATAAATGGCCATTTTCACTAGCTTTTTGATGCTTTTTGTATGTTTACCAGAGGGTACCAGTTTGACATCAATGTCGTTGCGTAAATGGCTCAAATCCATAGTAACTTCCCTCTGGTAATTTGTGCCTTAGCTATGGAACTTCACCACGAGTTGTAAGTCGGTAAATCATTGAACCCATGGCAACATGTGAAATGATGGTACATTGTCCCATTCATATACCCATGATTGAACTATATGTTTGTTGGTTAATCCCTATTCATCATAAAATCCGCAAAGTCCAGAAAAAAAAACACCATGAAGACCAGGGTAGTTCCATTAATGAACCATGATTCACCATGATTCACCAGGGTATCATAATTGTCATTCTTACATTTTAGTGAATCATCAGGATGTTCCCATTAAAACCCGCCATGTCTTAGCTGCTCAGCCACCGCTACGCGGCTCCGGGATAAGAGGGCCGGGGCCTCAAAGGTCAACACAACATGGGCGGCATCTATGGCTATCTGATATCTTCCCTATGTGGAAAACAAAGTGGGGTACCCTCTGGTAAACATACAACAAGCTATTGAAAATGGCCATAGAAATAGTGCATTTTCCCATTAAAAATGGTGATGTTCCATAGTTATGTTAGATAACCAGAGGGTATATGATGCTAGATGCTTAGTACAACATCAATCCAAAGATGTTCAAAAACAGGATTGCAAACGCAATCCGTCATCATTATCATCATTGAAGCACATCCAAATTCGCTATGGATCAAATTTTGATCACCAAAGACTGGAAGGATCACTCATAAAACATCTATATCTTTTTGCACTCAGCTGTGGGTTTCAGTTTTGACCCAGTCTCGCTATCACCATTATGATGATTGAAGGGAAGATCTCCACAGGAAATCAAAGTTTTTTTTCATGAATTATAGCGGGTAATCCCTGCCCCCCTAATTCTAATTCCCCAATTGAATCTAGGCTTAGTAAATCATATACTAAATCCGATTTCCCCTTGGTTTAGTGTTGGTTTAGTATTCTAAACATTTCCGGATCGAGCCACTGTAAAAAGACGCCTATCCCATCTCCTGAAATACGAGGGTGTTCTTCTAGGTTTCCGTACTATGGGTTATCACAATCCCCAATCAATGAGCTAAGTCCCAACAAATTCATCAATCCAGGGTATTCTTCCCCAATTGACGCCCCCTAATAAATTGTGATCATCCCATATATCATGGTTAGTCATAATCGGTTTGCCCCAATAAATGAGCTACATGTAGTTTTGCGATAATGCCTTGTAATCTGTATATAATGGTTAGTTATATATATATATATACATAATATATATATATTTATACCCCAACTGTCCTAGGGAGCTTGAATATCCCTCTGTCATTCCATTATACTGGTTGGTTACTAGGGATTCCCGGTCATGACTTGTGATAATCCCATATATACTGGTTAGTGTAATCCCCTAATCCATTGGGATATATCGTCTCCTATAATCCGTAACATTGGTATAACCCAAAATCATTAATATAAATTAATATAAATTAACATAAATTAATATAAATTAATATAATGAATTGATATGAATTGTATGAAATCGTTTTAATCCCCCCTTTTTTAGTCGTCATCCTTTTTAAAATACTAGCCATTATCATTAGTGGATGAGTATCATCCAGTATCCAATAGATTCCACCATAACCATATAGTAAACTCCAATAGTATAATGTCTAATTACTATTATCCATTAGCATTATACTACTATTATATCATAATAAAATCCAATACTACAATCCAAAACTATAACCATATAAATTAGTAAAATCCAAGAGTATCATGTATAATTGCTATATACTCACCATCCTACATATATATATATGATTAACAACCATATACTAATTAATATACATATACCATCCTATACACTAATCATTAGTATCATCCAATAGCAAGGGCCCCGACCACAGCACCATTGCCCACCTTGGCTGGCGCCGGCGCCTTGCGCTGCACCGCGCCAGCACCACCCGGCCTACCGGTAGGGAGCGGGAGCGCATTTGTTTTTTTTTTTTCCGCAGAATATCTGGCTAATTATCATTTAAATACATGTGTCGATGTCAAAACATGTATGTATGTATGTATGCATGTATGTATATATATATTATATTCTGTATAAATAGCTATATATATATTACTATGATAATATCACTATATGCAGTATATTACAGTATATTACAGTATATTACAGTATATTACAGTATATTACAGTATATTACAGTATATTACAGTATATATTTATATACATATACTATATCATATAGATATCATATAGAGCACCTGCAGATTGCACATGAACCCTACTGAATCCCTACTTACATGGCTAAGCCTTACTGACTTGAGCTTCAATTAGAGAGGTAAATGACTCCATTTGACACACCTGAAAATCTTGGTGCCTTGTTGATCCCTAAGTTGGCTTCATGTTTAGTATATATAAATATACATATGCATAATAATATATATATACATATATAAATTATATATATACATATATATTAGTTGGCCATGTAAATCCATGCCCCAAAAAGTCAACAAAAACTCGAACATGGATCCAGGTTCAACCACACACCAATTGAGAATCCCTGGGAGAAGCCTGGAGACGGATTTTAAATCTCCGATTTTCCCAAGATCAGATGATTAATCCTCAGACCTGGATCTGGGAGTTTCCATAGTCATGGGGGTACCCCAATAGCTGGATGCTTTATAGTTAGGAAATGTTAGGAACATCCTATTTTTCAATGGATGAGAACTGGGGGTACCTCCATTTTAGGAAACCCCCATACAATACCCTCTGGTAAACTAACATAACTATGGAAAATCACCATTTTTAATGGGAAAATCCACTATAAATGGCCATTTTCAATAGCTTTTTGTATGTTTACCAGAGGGTATCCCCCAAAGATTTCGCGAAGATCTTCCCGGTTGAATCGAACAAAAACCGCCTCGCCCATTCCGGCGGCGTCTCGGTGAAGCGCCGGGAGGCGGCGTTGTAGTCCTGGCCTGACAGCTCGTTTCACTGGGGTTTTCGGGTGGAGGTAGTTCACATTGGTTACCTATATAATTAGCTAGTGGAGCTAAGAATCATAATGATCACTATATAATCACTATATATATAATCACTATATATATAATCACTATATATATAGTCATGTAATTATAGTCATGTAATTACATCTTATTCATATTTTATTGCTGGTACATCTTGTTACACATGTGCTGTAATTTGTGACAATGTTCAAGTCAACACGCGTAACAATATGGGAAGGTCATCCTAAAATAACCAATCTGCAGGCTATTCGAAGGGGTGTTGAATTTCTCCCTCTTCACCAGAGATAACCTATTCAACGGATGCAAAAAAATGATTTGTTCACCAACAGATCAACAGTATGTTTTCCCATTTTTGATCACCATTTTTTGTTGGTGAAACTCCCAATTCGCTGTGGCGTTCAACTGTAAAAAAAACCCAATTCTACGGATTCACCTTGCAATTTAACATGATATTCAAAGAAACAACACGGCCATAAGTTGAGGGCTGTTCCCCCTCTTTTAACACGACCAAATGTCATAGTACGTGTTGGTGTCTATCACACAAGATACGCATTTCCAGTCTGCCCGCGGTTGGAGTCTCTCGGAGAGAAAAGAGGTATATCCCCCAGGTTCAGACCTACCCAACTCTTGCTCGTTGTGGTCACTGGGACTCATCCCTAAAAATGAAATCTGAAGCATCTGAACTTGAAAAAAACACATGAAATCACCAGAATTGAGTGTATAAGACCCAACCCTCAGCCTTCCCCCCCTTTTCACGCCGTTTTCCGCCCTTACAGCTCCCGGGCACCGCCGTTGCCCAGCATGGTGGCCACGGTGGCCGTTCCCATGGCCGCGCGGTGCAGCATCGCCAGGTCGTCGAAGGTCTCGTGGCGGTGCTGGCGGAAGCCCAGTTCCCGGGACCCGGTGCGGACGGCGTTGATGACGCGCTGCTTGGGGCTTGGCTGCCACAAGTCGCCCCAACTGATGTGGCTCAGCCTGGGATGATGGCTTTGAAGGGAAAGAGAGGTTGGAGAAACTGTGTTTTTTTGGGGGGGAAGTGGAGGTTGGATGGTTTTTTAGGAGCACGGGTTAATATTTCTGTGGAATTCTGCTGATATGTTAAGAACAACGTTCTTTTTTTAGCCTTCTTAAGTGTCTAATCAACTTTCTCGTGGACAAATAAATTCCACTTACACTTACACTTTGCACCAAGCAAAATCCATGGGTATCACGCATGGAGCATCTGTCCAAGAAAAGGTTGATGTAAATGAATTACAGTCGTCCTGGACAAAGGATGTTTGAAAAATATGTAAAACATATTGAGTCACTTGCAAATACCAGAGTGGACAGAACCTGTTCAAGATATCCCCGTTATATTTCCATTAAACATATGAAATCGTGCACTAGTTCACATCAAACAGGAACCCCATATTATTGGTTATGTGTATAATGTATAATAAATATGTATATATATAAATATGTATATTATATATGTAGATCACTTCCGCACCGCATGAAATAAGATTCCCCATGAACCAACGCTCACTTAAGCAAACAAAACTACTGTTGACACATATGTTTATTCATTTGATACTCGTCCCAACCATAAAATCAATTACCCTCTGGTAAACTAACATAGCTATGGAAAATCACCATTTTTAATGGGTAAATCCACTATAAATGGGCAATTTTCAATAGCTCTGTTAGTCATAACCAGAGGGTAACCCCATCAGATCTCCGTAAAAAGATCTTCCTCATCCCATCCCTTTTCGGTCCCTCCCATTCTCAATCGATATGAAAAACCAGAAAGGCTTGGTGCCTGCGTCAAACCTACCAATTGTTTGTATATATGCAATGGTTTCTTGTAAATATATTGCATGATCTTAAGCAATCTTGGCTTCTCATTTTCCATGCACAAACTTTTTAATGGAACACAACTTAAACTGTTTGAAACCACACACACACACAAAAAAAACAAAGAAACCAAAAACATCAATGTCTTCCAGACTAGTCTGAACATAGCTAGATCAAAGTAGTCCCCAAAATATCTGTTATTCCTTTGTTTTTGGTTTCTTTTGTTTTTTTCCCGATGTTTTGATCCTGGGAATCCACATTCATCCTTAAACCAACTCTGATTCATCTTGCTGAGGCTTGCCATCTGTTTCAAATGCTTCACAACCATCTCCCCATCACAAACAAACCATCTCCCATCTCCCCATCTCCCCATCTTCCCATCCCTGCGGACTCCTGCCGTTCCCGTTGCCGCGGCGCCAGAACTGTTGGAAGATGCTCCGCTGCAGCATCGCTGCATCCTTTGGCAGCGCTGCGCGAAGAAGCTCCTGGCGTTTCGCCTCCACCGACTCGAAGGTGGGCAGAAAGTCCTCCTTCACCGCGTTCCTCGGAGGCTTGGGGGGTTGGGATGATGATTATGGGATTTATAAATGTATTTATATATGTATTTATATTGGTATATAGTTCCCAGGTTTACAACCTGTCTATTGGGGGTTGCTATATTTAAAACGACACATTTTTGGCACTTAACCCTCAAACTCTTGGAATCGGAAGGAGCTGGGGGAAAGAAAACAGTGGAGACAGGGTGGAGTTGAGTAGCAAATGTAGTGAACATGGACATTCAGGGTACCCCCTAAATCATCCATTTGAATAGGATTCTCATACCCTCTGGTAATTTAACATAGCTATGGAAAATCACAATTTTCAATGGGAAAACTCACTAGAAATGGCCATTTTCAATAGCTATGTTAGTTTACCAGAGGGTATACTTTCCCTTATAAACTTAAACCATCCAGCTATTGGGGTACCTCCATTTATGGAAACCCCCACATGAAATCAGTTGAACATGGGACAAACCATAGGACATGCACATGGCATGATGGTGATATGTGATCTACAGAAAAACAAAACAACAGTGGCTTATTTATCCTCCGAATTGACCCAAGCAGGGGTCGCCTGCCAGGTTGGGCAATGATAAGTGTCACTCTGTGTCACTTGGATTCCCGGGGCGGAAAACATACATGGAACATACATGGAACATGCGTGGAACCCATGCGCCCAGCGTCTTGTAGAACGCATCCAACGTAGCGCTTGCCACGACAATCCGCAAGCATTCCAGGGCAAAACCACCTGGCACGTGGGCCTCATTGAAAACCCTTGGGATGATGTTCTTGGTGAGATTTGGTGAGGGTGACCTAGGAAGTAGTTTCAGCTTCTCGCCCACGAGCCGTGTTCGACTTCACGTGACCATTCGCAAGTCTCCCATCCCCCATGTGAGTCACATCTCCCGTGATATGATGTGATAACTGATAACTAATTGGAAGTTTAACATAGCTGTTGAAAATGGTGATTTATAGTGGATTTACCCATCGAAAATGGTGATTTTCCATAGTTATGTTAGTTTACCAGAGGGTAACTAATTGGAAGTTTTATATGGTATTATCATGTATTGTCCCAATGTGTATAATGATCCCAAATTCATTCCGAGTAGAGATTCATCCAAACAAGTGAACGTATATTTTTTTTACCTTAATCCAAACCTTTCCTAACCATCAACTAGGTAATCTCCCATTATAATTCATCCATAATGATACATTTACATGTTTATCATATTCCCATTTATCCAACCCCGATTTATAACCATTATTTGTTCTCAATTATTCTCATTCATCATAAATCAGCAATAGAAACCATGATTCATATCCTATAATGGCCACAGCTAATCTATTACATCCAACTCCACACCTGAATTGATGATTGTTGATTATCAACAAACAATCTCATTACTGGTAAAGAATCATAAGTGCTCATAAACAGCCCCTATATAAATCTGTTGATTCATCAAACAATGTTAGTCTAGTAGCATTTCCCCTAGTCCACAACTTTCACCCCCACGGTTGACCGCCTGGGTTGATGGTCCTGTTAACCGTATCCCCATGAGATTCCTTAACTATACAACCACAAACAACCCATCACATCTCCCCCTGCCCTCCGTCAAATGATGATGTTGATCAACAGAGTTGATGATGTTCAATGATGTTCATAATCTTATCCCACCTATACCCTCTGGTAAACTGTCCCATAACTATGGAAAATCACCATGCTATTATATAATGGGAACATCCACTATTTCTATGGCCATTTTCAATAGCTATGTAACAAATTACCAGAGGGTATATTTGTATATACTGAACATATTGAATTATGATATTCATATTATCCCACCTTATTATCAATGATCTTATAATCAAATCCACTATTTCTATGGCCATTTTCAATAACTATGTAACAAATTACCAGAGGGTATATCCCATTCATATCCTATTAAATCACTATAAAATTCCATTAAATCACTATAAAATTCCATTAAATCACTGTAAAATCCCATTAAACCACTATAAAATCACATTAAATCACTGTAAAATCCCATTAAATCACTATAAAATCCCATTAAATCACTATAAAATACTATAAATTCCCACCTATAATCATATCCCACCTGAGTTGATGATCTTCAGCAGAATCTGGCGACTGCTCCAGCGGATCAGCAGCACTTTGTCGCTCACCACGAAGGCCCTGGGCCCCACAGGCTGCATGGCGTGGACCACGCTGCTCTGCCCCACAAAGGCCATCAGGGCGGGGCCGTCCAGGAAGTAGCCCGCGTCCAGGGTGATGTCCTAACGGCTGGGGCGGTTGAGACGTTGGGGATGTGGATATCATGGTTAAGATGTGGTTAAGACATGGTACATACATGGTAAATACATGGTAAATGAACACCGATGCGTATTGATGATGCTTGATGATGGTTGATGATGATTAATGATGGTTGATGATCAATGTACTAAACTATGATACATTGCCGTAACACACGGTGAGGTCACCATACCGGTGAGTCTATCTGGGTAAACTGTACCAACTCACAAAGCCGAATTAAGGCTATTTTGGGAATGGTTAGTATAGCCTTAATTCACCTTTGGGATCTTTGGGTAGAGCCTCACTGGAATCATGGGCAGTATAGCCAACTCACCGGTATCACATGGTATCACTATACCAACTCACTAACCATGATTCCAATGAGGGAGAACAGGGTTCGGTCGTTGGCCTCGTTGGCCTTGTTGGCCCCTCAGAGGATACTCTTTCAGTGCACACCTTTACCTGTCAGAAAAAAAACACCTCATGTGGGTAAAACAATACTAAACCATCCCCCATATCACCATAAATTTTATAAATAGGTGGTATAAACATGTATAAACCATTCCCAGTCATGGCTGGTAAAAATGGCATTGTTTTACCCACATTATGTCTCACGACCCCTGGTCCCCTCGGTCCCCCTTTCCTTGATGCCACTCTCAGACGCGGGCTTCAACAAGACCCTGCCGTGGACAATGTAGTAGAAGTGCTCCTGCCGGCGTCACGCGGTCCGTGGAGCATATGTGCCAGTTTTTAGTGGGGTCCATCAGTTTGTTTCCATGGACGGTAACAGATATTTGGGTATTGATATGTATTGATCAATAATAGATTTTCCGTTGGGCAAACAATATGGGTATGAATGAGAATACAGTACCCCAATAGAATGTGCAGCCGTGTGGAAATATCATGCCAGCTTAAGAAGTGGGTTGAACATCGAACATATGGTTGCAGTGGCTCACAATTATTACCAGGTGGTGCCCGAAAATTTTGTCTTTGGGTTCTTGATTCACTCCATTCACGTTCACGTCCACTAACTATGGTTGCATCTACCATCCTAGTTGTTTCATGTTGTTTCAACCAACTTAGCTCGCGCACTGGGGCACCAAAAATGGCATCGATTCCCAAGCATGGCATCGTCATTTTGGCCAATCATTGCCATGAATAATCCAAAATGGGCCAGTTAGTTCAAAATATTTGTTTGAGATGGGCCAGTTAGTTCAGTAGTAGATGGGTCATAACATGTCATAACCCATATTTTAGATATAAGGAATGATAGATTATGGTAATCTGGTTGGTGGTTTGAACCCCTCTGAAAAATATGACTTTGTCAGTTGGGATGATTATTAATTATTCCCAATATGGTGGGAAAAATCAAAGCCATGAACCAAACCACCAACCAGATAATAGTGGGACCATAGTTGGTTTGATTATGGTATTAACTATGGTTATTATGGTTAATTACTATATATCCGCCGACCCCAGCGAAAGCACGGGGGAGCGCGTCAGATTTATGATTCATGGTTAACCAAAATAGTTATGATTATAGTCAACTAACTAACATAACTATGGAAAATATTGGAAAATCACCATTTTCAATGGGCAAATCCACTATAAATGGATATAAATGGCCATTAATATCTACAAACGAAAGGCCATTTGGGAAAGATTCCACAACGACGAACTCCACGGCCCCACGTCCACCCAGATCTCCCAGATCTCCTCTTCGGCCTCCATCTCGGAGCCATCGCTGGAGCCATCGCTCGAGTCTTCAGCCTTCAACCTGGGGAAAAACCCAAGGACCGAAGCGCCGAAGCGACCTTTAAAAGGACCATCAGCATACCGGAAGCTGGTCACTTTGAAGTATCGTTTTTGTTGGGATGTTTAACTGGGATGTTTAATATGAAAACTGGGATCACCATGGATTAGCAATATTCAGAAATTACTGGTTGATACTGGTTGGTGGTTGGTACGCCTACCCCTCTGAAAAATGATGGACTTAAAGTCAGTTGGGATGTTATTCCATTCCCAATGTGATGGGAAAGTCATAAATAAAACATATTCCAAACCACCAACCAGATTATAGTTGGACTATAGTTGGTTTGATTATGGGTATTATGGTTATTATGGTTAAAAAACACCAACCAGTAATCATATTTTGTTCACTTTTCTCAAACAAAAAATATCTGTTTCTGACTGTTTCTAACCTCCCAACAAAAAATGATATCGTGATATACCGCGTATCAGCGCTAGGGATGGACACAAAACAATCAGGGACCGCCAAAGACCGATTGCGGTTACCCTCTGGTAAACTAACATAGCTATGGGAAAATCACCATGCTATTAATGGGAAAATCCACTATTTCGACTGGGCCATTTTCAATAGCTTGTTGTATGTTTACCAGAGGGTATATCCTTCATCTTTGCTGATCTCTTATCTTTTGGTTAAGAGATGCAATACTTCAAGCATAATAAGCCTAAAAAACATAGGAACACATAATGGTCTACTGAAACTATGTTGAATAATTTCCAACACATCCCACAAAAAGTCTGATGAAATGTGTTTCTAATCTTCATTCATCCGTCAATTTATAGATGATGTTCTTAGCAGATAAATAACTATTTATGGTTAAACTAGCTAACTATTCTTAGCTAATGATTATAGTTATGATTATCACCATTAATCACCATTAATCACCATTAAATCACCATTTTCCTATGGTTTTCCTATGGTTTTCCTATGGTTTTCACCAATTTATAGACCTCCATGGCTTGTGACAAAACCGATCCTAGCAGCTGCAGCTCGGTGCCCTGGACACTTTCAAAGAACTCGCCGGCGTCCAGGATGTCCTGGGCAGGTCTTCCGAATCAGCGGATAGATCATGGGTGATCCATGGTTCATAGTTGTTTGACAGGCGAAACAGCCTAAAGACTACAGCAAGTGCACGCTTGTTTCTTGAGCCATAAGCACAGTATAGTATGGATGAATTAAGGTATATGTACAGTAGTATACATGAAAAACACCCCCCGCCGCCCGCAGATTTCCGCGGAGGACGGAAGGCTAACCACGTACGCCAGAAGTGACCTGAGAGCGGACGGGTTGAAACAAGACATCACTGTACATGATTACCTACCATCTGTGCTATGTGGTCTCAGCTCGAATGCATGAGGCAAAATGAGAAAAGGTCGGATGCATTAACTTTTCAATCCATGGCAGGGCACGTGCTTGAAGAGACACAAAAGTGAAGTTGGCCTGGCTTCCGCCAAGGCATAGGAACATTACCATTCCTTTCAATTGCCTTTGGTTCGGAAACTACTGTATCAGGCTAACCTACACGGCATCTGTACACGTGCAACTACCGCAGAGGATCGGATGCTGGTGTCAATCTCATTGAATCAATTGAGAAAAGTTTTTCAAGTTAATCAAGTTGGAATTTCAAGTTTTGGAAATGTGTGCAATTCGATTGAACTGAATGACCATGGGTCAGCTTTCATCCAATCGGCCAAACCTTCCGGTAGGCATAAAAATCATGGCACAAGATGTGAAACATCTACCAAGATTCAAACTCTACCGTCCCATCATTGTAGGTGCGCTTGAAGTGCGGCTGGCCGTTGATCTCGCAGTACTCCTCAGCAATCACAACTGGTGCACGAGACACCTGTCGTGGAGGCTCTGTTGCAGGAGCTGATCCAGAGGCAGCTTGGGCAGAATCGCCAGCAGCTGGTGTTGTGTCAGGCACAGGCGTCGCTGTTGATGGTGGCCGCACTGGCTCCGGAGGAGCTGCCGAGGAGCTTGATGCTGTAGATCTTCCCCAAGGATCAGCAGTCCAACCTCGGCCAGAGTAGCCCTGATTCCAATTCCAGCTTTGCCATTGGGCCTGCCCTCCCGAGCGGCTTGAGTAAGATCCATACGAACCCCACTGTTGCCCTCGGTTCCATCCACTGCGGCACTCAAAGGATTTGTGGCCATACTGACCGCACTTCCAGCATTCAATGGCCTGCTGAAAGATTGGTCGCTGTTGTTGACCGTAGCCCTTGCCTTTGCCCTTGGCTGGCTTCTGAATCGGGTCAAAATGACGCCGGTATCCTTCTCGCCCTTCGCCAGTACCCGTCTTGGAGGACCTTGCCAATGGAAAATCAGCCACATCTGATGCAGTGGCTTCATCCACGAAGGAGTGTTCTTCACCCTTGATGTTATTGTATTGTTCCTTCCACTGCCTCTTTGCGAAATCGACGAGGTCGAAGAAACAATCTTGGGCTGACCCTTGATCCACAGGCATCATTGAGCCAGACCAACCAAATAACATCGGCGTGGGTTCCCCCCTCGCTTTCAGCAAGTCCGCAGCAAGAACAGCAAATTGTGGGAGTGTAAAAACTCGTGCATGATGTGCAACCATGGCTTCCTTTGTAACGTCCAACGGGAGTCGGATGTCTCTGTTGAAGTCTGGCATGAAAATCAAACGAGTGCTGACACCTGTTCCCAGCTGCTTTTCTCGCTTCTCTCGGGTACGGCCGACATCAGGGGCAATGCATTTTGCCAAGTCCTCCAAAAATTGGCAACAGTCGGGAGTGATCTGGCCGACCGCATTGTTAAACAAATAAAATGGGTCCTTCTCCATGCGGTCCTGGATCGACTTGAAGCCGAGCTTCGTGTATCTTCCCGCATGTGTCTGAGCAGCGTCCTTGAGATTTCCGAAATTGCTTCGTCCAGCTCGACGTTGATCTGCTCGGGTGCGGTCGGAGACTCGCTGAGCTCGAGGCTGCTTCTCAAAATCGATTTTGTCCAGAGAAAATACCTTGTTGGTTTTCTTGGCCGAGATTTCCATCCGGCATACCTCTGTCGCAATTCTTCCATCCGACCAAGCAATCAGCCATTTGAAGCACGACTGACATTTGTGGGTGCCCTCAATGTTCTGTTCGCCGCAGAAGTGGCATCGGACCTGTT